TAATAAATAAGTCAATATTATTTTTCTACAAAGGAGCAACTGAAAATTTTCCAGACTGTAGTTGCCTCAGACTATGTTTTTGTTAATTGCCTTTGAATCTAGAACAACTCAAAGAGACTCTATGAACAAAAGGCCTGAAATCCCTCTACAACGACCAACATTTATCAAAGGTCATAGAGTTTCCGGAGGCATTTTATTTAGAAAGTGGATGCCACTCCTGCTTCCAAACCTGTCATAGTATTTTATGTTGTTATATGTCATTGGGTCACCTGTGATGTATTGCGACCCTATGTGCAGCAGCTCTGAACTTCTTCCCTATCCTAAGCCAATCTCACTAATTCTGATACGCCAACGCTCAATGCCCCAGTAACTGTACCAATTCATCTCATCTGGAATCTCCCTCTCCCGCGCTGTCTGTCTGCCCTTCAGAGCATGATGATCTTCTCCGAGGACTGATCTCTCCTGGCCACATGTCCAAAGTAAGTGAGGTGAAGTTTCAAATTCCTAGCCTCCAAGGAGAGACTTGGTTTCACCCTCTCCAAGACAGACCAATTTGTTTTCTTGGCAGTTCATAGTATGTTCAAGATTCTTCTCCAGGACCACAACTAGAAGTCATCTATTCTTCTTCTGTAATACCTACTCATTGTCCAACTCTCTGAAGCCTAACAAATAATTGAGAAGACCATGGCCTGGATTAGGCACACCTTTTTTCTAGGCTACTCTTCAGCACTCTGGATAGGTCCATGACAGCAAGTTTTCACAATGCAATTCGTCTTTTGATTTCCAGACTGCTAGGGTTAAGAGTGTTGATTGTGGATCTGAGCAAACTTTAATTGTTAACAATCTCAATCTCTTCTCCATCTAATATTGTGCTGCCAATGGCCCAATGGTGACAATCTTTGTCTTCTTGATGTTGAGCTTCAATCCATATTGAAGACTATAGTCCTTGACTTTTTGCAGCAAGTGTTTCAGGTCTTCTTCAGTTTCAGCAAACAAGGTTGTGTCATCTGCATATCGTAGGTTGTTAATGAGTCTTCCTCTAATCTTGATGCCACACTCCACCTCATAAAGCCCTGCTTCCCGAATGGTCTGTTCTGCATACAGATTGAAAAGGTACGGGGACAGAATGCATCCCTGACACATGCATTTCTTGATTTTCTACCATGCAGTGTTTCCTTGCTCTGTTCTGAGGACTGCTTCTTGTTCTAAGGTTTCGTATAAGCATGATCAAGTGTTCTGAGATTCCCATTTTCCTCAAGGTTAGCCCCAATTGATTGTGATCCACACAGTCAAATGGCTGTGCATGGTCAATGAAAAACAGACAGAACTTCTTCTGGTACTCTCTGCTTTCTGCCAAGATGGTTGCCTCACGTTTTGTTTTTTTTTTCATTCATTCACTGTTGCATTTTTTCTCCTTGCCCACCCCTACCCCCACAGTTCACTCTTCTATTTGAAAAGTAAAATAAAAATTCTTTCATTATTACACAATCCCTCCCCCGAAGGCCACTCATCTATGCAGCCTTCATTCTGGACTCCTTTTACACATACGTATTTTCCCCCAGAATAATCAAAACTTGATAGTTGTAAAATAAAATAGTAATTTTGTAACACGAACTTTAAAAATTGTCATAGTAAGCAATTGCATTCTAGGAATTTAAGGAAACTATAATTATTGTTGTTTACACACAAAATTGTCACCTCTATGTTCTCTCTTTCTCCATGATCTAGTTTATCTCTCCTGTTGTTATTGAAAACATACACACTATTCAGCAGTTTCTACATGAAAAATACAACACCATTGGTTGACTACCTTCAACCAATAGTTGCAATCAATAGTTATAAGCAGTAGTTATGTAACTATTCTTACTGCCCTCCTTTTCTGAATTGTCCTTCTCTCATTGAGGTAATCTCCCTGTACTCTAATATCCCTGTCCCCAGTCTTTCAAGCTGTTGTCAGTTTGATCCCATAAAGATAGACCCTAACGGTTCATAATTTTCAAGGCATGTTCTCTTTACTAGTTAAACCAAATAATTATCTTGTTTTAAGGAGAATTATGCATACCTTTTAATTATTATTTCATGTTTTAAGTTTACCTTAGGACAATAGTTTCAGGGGTCTATACCCTTTAATATTACTTTTATGAAGTAACTCACATGAATATACAGGAAGAGAGGAAAGGTTAACTATGATAACTGTCATAGATTGAGTTGTATCTTCCAAAAATATGTCAGCTTGGCTGGACCAATATATAGGAGAATGATCCTATATATTGTACATCTTTTGTATGGGGTTGGCTGCTAGCCCAAAGGCCACACTTCTCTGGATGTTCAGCAATCCTCAGGAGAAAATTTTCTTCCTTTTTTTTTTTTTTAAGGCTCCTGAAAATCCCCTGAAGTATCAGCTGTGAGTTGATTATGGCTTTATGGCAGCAAGTTTAGGTTTTGTTTTGATGATGGTAATGACACAGAAATTGACCCCATAGATGTTGTCTCTGTGACAAATGATTTGGAGGGTTTTTTTTTTTAATATAAGTGAGTATATGTTTTGAGTTATGTAAGGACAAGGAGAATATGAATAAGAGTGAGTGAGGAGATGAGAGGATGCGAGTAAATGAGGCATTGTGTGTGAAGTGATTTGAATCACTTCATCTCTGTCTGTGTGAGCACACATGTGAATGATCTTAGATACAACCGTGTGTTTCCAGGGAGATACGTTGGAAGACAGTAAGTAAAATCTGCACACAGAGTAACCTCTAGTGGCAAAATAAAACGTTAATATAATTTTTTTTCTTAAAAAAGAAATGTTAGATTTGTAGGAGGTAACATGGAAGGGAGCTTTGATGGCGTAATCTGTCAAGAGTTGCCAACAAACATACAAGTAGTGTGTCTGGCAGTACAAATTCACCAGAGGATTCTGGCGAGAAAGATGGGCAATCTCCTAAGAAACCCAATAAAGGGCCAGTTATGAGTCAGTTCTGACTCCAAGCAATGAGTTTGAGGGTGGGGTTTTGTTGGGGGTTTTTTTGTTGTTGTTTTTTGTGGTTTGTTTTGTTTTCTTTTCTTTTGTTTTGTGTGTGTGTGTGTTTGTGTTTTCGATTTGTGTGTGGGTGTTTGTTATATGACACCAAGCATAATGTTCACCAACAATCGGTGCCTCCTAATGACATGCCTAAAAGTAAGAGTGATGGAGTCTTGTAATTTTCACTTTTGAGAAGTATTCTTACTGTATTTCCTCAAAAAAGAGATTTGGATTTTGGAAATTGAACTCTTGTTTTTCAATATTCAATGCAAATCATTACTGTGGAGTTGAAAGTGACTCATAGCTGACCCTTCACTGTTTTTTCCCAATGCTGTAAATTTCACAGGAGGAGATTGTGCCTCTTTTTTATCTCAGAGAGGGGTGGCCTTTGGATTAACTGTCACCAAACATATACCTAAATCCCTGACTAATTTGTAGTAGAAAATCATTATTTAATTAAAAAGACATCTGAAAGTTTAATTTTTTTCATGCTTAATTTCTAAGCATCCAATAACTGAAACTAATTGCTGCTGATGTTTACAAGCCCAGGCTCTGGTGGATTTGCATTAATGAACTTTTGAAACTAATGCAATGGCCCATTTATATCAAACTGCGTCAGGGACTTAAAGTGTTTTAAGTTTTTCAAAGGCTCAAAGATTATACACTAAGACATTAACGGGCATTGTTAATGGATGGAAGGAAGGGTTTGGGTAATTTTTTTCCCTTAGTTTTTTTTTGTTTGTTTGTTTGCTTTCTTATGGTCTATGTTTGGATTTTTGAAGGATGATCACTTAGAATTATACAAGGTTTATCTTAAGCTGATTTAAAAAGCAGGTCATTTTTTTAAGTAGTTTAAGCCAGCTCTGAATCATTTTACAAATATTACATTTTTTTCTGCACCGCCTTATTTCACTAATCATGAAAAAGATGACACTTGAAAAATTATGGTATTTTTCCCTATCCCAAACTAAATTTATATAGAAAAGTTAGTGGTAGAAAATTGTTGAAGTATTATTCTGCTTTTAATTTATTTCAGCTGCCCTACAGTGACTTGCTGTCATCAACAGTAGGTGTCAGAGGCCCAATGCGTTATTCTGTTATTTTTTGGACACCACAGCATGTATGCACATATTTATGAATTAGTTGCTTGGAGTTGTGAATAACTAGTGCAACCAGGGCACTCCTTAAAGGCAAAGGTGGTGAAACTTTGTCTCACATGCTTTGGGCAAATTACCAAGAGGGATGAGGCCTTGTGAAAAGGCATCATGCTGAGAAAGGTGAACGGTCAGACAAAGAAAGTAAGACCTTCAACAAAATGGATTGATACAGTGACTGTAATAATCTTGCATATATCAGAGATGTCAGGATAGCACAGGAGAGGGCAAAGTTAAAATCTATTGTCCCCAGGGTCTTTATGAGTGGTGGTCAGCTTGATGATGCCTAACAAAAACAAGTTTCATTTTGGGGAGTTACTGTGGCATGTTCAGTAGGGAGTTTCATTGCTGAACTAAAAATACAACGCTTCTCTGTTCATTACTTTGGGAAAAAGATGGACAATTCTTCTGCCATGCAATTGACAGCCTCAAAAAACCTGCTTGAGGGTCAGCTATGAGTGACTGGGCAGCAATAAATGATCGAGTTTAACTATGCAGACAGCAGATATCACATCATTCATTCCCTTTCACTTAGAAAACAATTTCAGCTATTAAACTATAAATAACTCAAACTGTTACAAATGTGATTTCATTTGTGTATATTTCATACAATTATGTTCGCAGACCATCTAACACTGGACCAACAAAAACACTCTACCTAGGAATGCCCTTTATTTTCTGATCAATGAATGCTTCCTCATAGCTCTCAATTGATTTTTTTCAACCCACGTTATTTAGAAACTGCTAGGAAAATGCTGACTGAAATCTTCTTAAAAACCATCCAAGACCATTTTTTTCTTGTGATATACTTAAGAGCAACATGGCATTTACTCTGCCATGTCAAACCACTGCTCTGGTTCAGTGAACACCTTATTTTCCCACTTAAATTTGAGTTCTTCTGAAAGATCAGCCCTGCCAATCTTGCGAAGATGACGAGCCAAAAGGCGAATCTTGTCAGTTGAAGTTGGGAGGGATTTCTTCCAGAAGCTGAGAAGTTCGTGGATCTGTTCTGTGAGCTGGTCAGGGTTCTTGAGTTTGATGAGTTGAATGGTGCTGCGGTGGAGAGGGAGAGATGCAGACAGAGACATGGCACTTTCTTCTGAGAGTTCCTCTGCCAACCAGTACAGCAAGTTATCCCAGAGGGCTTCTGTCAGGTACACATTAAATATTTCATGTTAGAGACCTTTTCTTTGGAGAGATCTAATTTACAAGATATCTAGTTTATCTAACCTATCACACCTGATTGCAACTAATTTATTACACCTGATCACCCACTGATTTGGTCTCTAAACAGAAAAAAATTTGGGGAAAATTCAGAAAGGCACTTGGGAGCCTTTCCTGGTGTGTAACTTATTACAGATAATTGAAAATTCTTCTTAAATTTTATCAAGTCCGAGCACTGCTTTAGATGATCTGTGAACACAATTGCTGGCCCCACCTCAGAGTGTTGGGTGGTGGAGGACAAGGATGGTGTTAGGAAATTAGTTTTCCTCCCAAGCACTCAGATCATGCTGATGTTGAAGTCTCCAATCATACTGAGCAGCCTTCTGTCAAAAGATAATCTCAAACTTCAAAAGCTACTTCCTTCATTAATACTAATCTGATGCATAAATTATACCAGCAATTAGTTAATCTGCACTCCATAATCACACACGCAAACTCACATTTCAAAGAGTAAGCCTTTAATGTGAACATATTACATACATCTCCAGATCACTTAGGTACACAAAACTCACCTCTGAATACATCCTGGACATGTAGTACACCCCTCTCCTTATCCTCCACCTCATGCCTACCTCCTCAACCTTTGATTTCTTCTTCATGGTTGTTACTGCCCTAAAATATCAGTCTGAAGTGACCACACTATAACCTTTATGGCATAGTAGTTATCTTTCCAGAATGATCTGTGGTTGTTTAATCACCAGATTAAGCAACTACTAATTTCTTACAGATGTTTCTTTTGTCACAACTTTAGAGATCCACATAATTATAGTTTCAAATGTGTATGACTTCTTCAAGGACAATATGTTAATGAAGCTGAAAAACATAGTCATTTAATTGCAAAGTCATATTTTCCATAAAGATGCATTTGTGTATATATACACTAAAAAGGAAGGAAAAATCCAAGTGTAATGAGGACAGAGCCAATGTTCCTTACCTAAAGGATCTGTAGATATTCTTTTGGTACTCTGTGGACGATTGATTAATTTTTCATGCTATGGGGGAAAGGGGCACAGAATAAGCAGAATCAATCATTAATTTGTAGACATGTTACAAATAAAAATCCATCTAAACCTCACTTCAATTTGGAAAAAGTACAGAATTGCATAGCTTGCAAAATTAGATTACAGACTTACAAGTCTGTACATATGCACACTCAGCAACTGCTTCCCTAAGATAAGGCAGAGAATATTAACCCAAATTTTACAATGTGTTTAAAATTAAGATTACATATTAAAATATTAATTTTCTGTTGGCACTCACATTAATTTGAAACAAACATTTTCCAACTTAAATTTGAAGTTGTTAAAATCAGCTAATACACAGTGAGCTAACTCTAAGCCACAGATACAGCACTGTCTTTGCTAGACAGGCACTTTGCCTTAACACTCAGCCCAGTGCTTGGCACACAGTGGCTACACAAACAGGATTTTCTGTGGAGAATGAGTGAAGGTATTAGTATACTTGAAAATAGATGTGACATTGAGACAATTCCTCTTCGTAATGATTGATCCTATATAACAGACTAGTTCTCTTGATTGCTGATATTAAGTGTGCTGATTGTTGACCCGAGGAAGGTGAATTCATTAACAATTTCTATCTTTGTCTATCATGATGTTGCTATGGATCCAGTGGTGAGGATTTTTGTAGTCTTGATTTTGAGATGTATTCCTTATTGAATGCTGTAGTCTTTGATCTTCTGTAGTGCTTCCTCTTCACTTTCAGCAAGCGAGGTTGTGTCTTCTGCTTAACACAGATTGTTGATTAGCCTTCCTCCAATCCTGCTATCACTTTCTTCTTTATAGAATCTGGCTTCTGGAATTCTTTTCTTAGCATTGAGATTGAATATATATGGATAAAGAAAACAACCTTTATACATACCTTTCCTGATTCTGAGCCATATAGTGTCCCTTTCTCTGTTTGGACAACAGCTTTTTATTTTTTTCTCTATGCTTTTCATGAGAATAATTAAGTATTCCCATTCTTCTCAATATAGTTCATTACAGATATAGTGGGGGCTATGTCGTGTATACCATGCAGTACTACCCTGCTCCGTTTCCACAACAGCCTCCTGACTTATGTATTAGTTCCTCGTGAGCACAATCAAGTTCTCTGGGATTCCCATTCTTCTCAACATCAGCCACAACTTGTCATGATCCACACAGTCAAATGCCTTTGCATAGTCAATAAATCACAAACAGATATTCTTCTGGTATTCTTTCAATCAGGATCCATCTGATATCAACAATGATATCCCTGGTGCCACGACCTCTTCTAAATCTCCTTAAAATTCTGGTAATTCCCTATCACAGTTTTTCTGATTATTAGCTGTGCATCTGAGACCTGCACAGTAAATATGGAGGACAGAAAAAGAATTGATGCCTTTGAGCTGTGGTGATGGAGAAGAGCACTGAAGATCCCATAAATGCCCAAGAGAACTGATAGATATGTCTTGGAAAGGGTTCATCCAGAGTGCTCTTGGAGGCAAGAAAGATGAGGCTTCTCCTCACATACTTTGGGCATATTATTAGGAGGTACTATTCCTTGGAGAGGGACATGATGCTGAGAAGGGTGGAGGGTTGGCGAGAGGAAAGGAAGACCCTCAGGTGATTGACACGATGGCTGCTGCAATGGGCTCTTGTGTGTCAGGAAGTGTAAGCATGATGCAGGACAGGACTGGTTTCAGATCTTTTATTTATAGATTTCCTATGAGTCATGCTCAACTTGACAGCAAAATGTGGTATATATTATTATCATCTCTCAGGAGAAACAGTATAAATAATTGTACTAGTCATCCAGATATAGATTATTTATATAGCTAATTATAAGCTTGCTCTTGCTTTTATGTGCTGTCGAGTCATTTGCAATTCATAGGGACCCTATGAACAAAAGATATGAACCCTGATCTATCCTGGGCCATCCTCACACTTCCTGACACACAGGAATCCATTGCAGCAGTCACCTTGCCAATACACCTGGTTGAAGGTCTTCCTCACCTTCACTGACTCTTCACCCTTCCCAGCATCATATCCTTCTCCAAAGAATAACACCTCCTAGCAACAGGCTCAAAGCCGGTGAGATGAAGCCTCATCACTCTTGCCTCCAAAGAGCACCCCGGCTGCACCTTCTCAAAAACATACCTTTTTTTTCTTGGCCATCCCTGGGATGTTCAGTGCTCTTCTCCAACACAATAACTCAAAGTTGTCAATTCTTTTCCAGTCATCCTTATTCATTGTTCAGCCCTCAGATACATAGCTAATAATTGGAAAGACTATGGTCTGAATCAGATTCACCTTAGTCCTCAAACTAACATCATTACTTCTAAATAATTTGGGAGGGGGGACCCTAACTACAGATTTTCCCACTGCAATGTGTCTCCAGGGTCTCGCTGATCTTGAGCTAACCTCATTGTCTCTGACACATCTATTTCCATTACTCCAGTCATTGCATCAATCCATCTCATCTGGGGTTTTCCTCTCCTGCACTGTCCCTCCACCCTTCCAACCATGATGTTCCTCTCCAGGAACTGGTCTCTCCTTGCAACATGTCCAAAATATAGCCTACATCATATAAATTTGGAAGTAGTTAAAAAAAAAATTAGAAATAAGAAAATGGAAACAGCCTAAATGTCCATCAATAAAGGAACACTTAAAGAAATTGTGGTATATTCACACAATGGAATACTATTCATCACTAAGGAATCACGATTTTGTAAAATACTACATATCATACAAGAGACTAGAGACATTATGGTAAGTGAGATAACTCAGTCACATAAGGACAAATATTTCATAAGACCACTATTGTAAAATTAGGAGGACAATTGAGTAATATATGTATACATGAAGAGAATAAGAAGCAGAAATGAGGGAAGAGGAGAAATTTATTATGAGAGCAGAGGTTAGTGGATAGAGGAGAGGAGAAAAAATAGGAAATATTCCATGAGGACTTGAAGAAATGCGTGATAACAGGTATAGACCAACAGTATTTAATTATGTAAAGCTTATGTGAATGGTTTTTTAAAAAACCAGGAGGTACATGAATTATTGTATGCAAATTAATAAAAATATTTTTAAAACTAAATTTAAGATAGAATTAAAACCAATGACAGCCATTACACCTGAAAAAGATATGTGTGTTTTGAGTTTTATAGGACACTGTTGTTAAAGAAAGGAAAATTGGTGACATGTTGTTGATATTATTATGTGCCATCAAGTTGCCCGTGACTTATTGTGACCCTATGTACATTAGTTCAGAAAGATGCCCTTTCCTGAACCAATCTTGTTGTCTCTGACAAACCTAATCATATATCTCCAGTGACTGAGTCAATCCATCCTAGGTATTCCTTTCCTGCCCTGCCACTCCACCCTTTCTAGCATATTGTCCTTCTCCAAGGAAGGGTCCCTCCTGGCCATGTGCCAAAAGTATATAAGAAGGAGCTTCTTCACCTCCAGGGAGCAGCCTGGTTTCACCCTCTCCATGACAGATCTGTTTGTTCTCCTGGCAGTCCATGGTATGTTCAACACTCTTCTTCAGTAACACAATTCATAGGCATCAATCCTATCATCCTTTGTTATTGTCCAGCTCTTAGATGCAAAGCAAGTAATTGCAAAGACCATGGCCTGGATCAGGTGCACCTTAGTCTCCAGACTGACAGTGTGCTCTTCAATACTCTAAAGATGTATCTGACAACAGACTTTCCCAACAAAGTTTGTTTTTTTGTTTTTATTTCTTTTTCTGATTGCTTGTGTCAAGAGTATTGATTGTGGAACCAAGCAAGTGAAATTATCAACAATCTCAATCTCTTCTCCATCTATCATGAATCTGCTGTTTGGCCCAGTGGTGAAAATTTTTGTTTTCTGTATGTTGTGCTTCAGACCATATTGAAGACTACAAGTTTTGCATAAACACAGCTTTGAATAAGTTTTGCATGCACACAATCAAGTATTCTGGGAGTTCCATTCTTCTTAATATTAGCCACAATTTGTTGTGATTCACACAGTTAAATGCTTTTGCATAGTCAATGAAACACAGATAGACATTCCTCTGGTAATTTTTGCTGCCAAGATCCACCTGACATTGGTAATAATGTCTCAGGTGCCACGGCCTCTTCTAAACTAAGCTTGTATTTCTGGTAGTTCTCTGTCAATGTACTGTTCCACTTGTTTTTGGATAATCTTCAGCAGGATTTTGATAGAATTTGATATTGTTTAATAATTTAAACACTCAAATTTTAGTGTAAGTGTAGGTAGGACAGAGGTTATTTGACTGTTGTTTTCTGAGGAGGTAACTCTAACTCAGAGTGGTTCCATAAGGCAGTATAGAATTTTCCCATTGGATTTACTAGGCTGTAAATCTATGGGAAAGATTACCAGATATTTTCTCCTGTGGAAAGTAAGCTCAAATCACTGACATTTCAGTTTCCAGCTGAGTAGTTAATTGTTGTGCAACCAAGACTTTTTAGCTAAACAGGAGATTTTGTTACTGGTGTTGTTTGTTGTAGTGTTAGGTGTTGTTAAGTGAAGTGTGATTCATAAGGACCCCTACGCACAATAGACCTAAATCCCATCCTATCCTGTACCATCATCAGCATCTCTGACACAATTAAACTCATTACAGTAGTCATTGTGTTAACACAACTCATTGGAAGCCTTCCGTCTTCATTTCACTGACCTTCTATCTTTCCAAGAATAATGTCCCTTTTCAAGAAATAGACTCTCCTAGTAACATGTACAAAATGTGAGAGATGGAGCTTTGTCATCTTTGCCTCCAAGGAGCACTCTGGCTGCATTTTTCCCAAGACCCATCTGTTTGTTCTTTTGGCCGTCTAAAGGAGACTCATTATTCTTCACCAGAGCCACAATTCAAAGGCATCAGCTCTTCTATCATTTTTATTCACTGTCCAGATTTCAGATTCATATCAAGTGACTCAAGACTTGAATGGACTGAATGGGGATGACTTCAGTCTTCAAGTTGACATCATTGCTCTTCAGTATTTTGGAGAGATCTTTAACACCGGACTTGCCAATAAAATGCATCCTCTAATCTCCTAACTGCTGATGCCAATGGTGTTGATTGTTCATCTAAGCAAGATGAAACCATTGACAGCTTCAATCCTTTCTCCACCTAGCATGGTATTGTCTGGTGACCATGGTGAAGCCTTTTCACTTC